GTCACGTCAAAACGTATTTTGCTTCAGTCACGTTTCACAGTTCAGAGAATTAAGTTAAAAGTTTTTTAGAATGATCATTCCTGTCTCATTTTGTAATCGATTATGGATTCTGGCGCGTTCCTTACTGCGTATTAATATGAGACAATGTTGTTTGATAATATAATATTGCTTTCATGGTTTCTAACCCACCCAAAGTTAAGGCATTGCACGGTCACACAGAAAACCGCGGAAGGTGATCTATGTTCTGAAATGGTTCAGGATTGCTGCCAGCAGCAGATGCATGTAAGCGGGCGCGAGGTCTCATCTCCGAAAGAGAAGGCTGGAAATGGAGGAGGAATAAATCACAGTTTCAACTTTCAGTTTTGCTTGCCGTCCAACACACAACATATCAAGATTTAAAATAAAATTCTTTTTCAGATTCGTCACTGCACTTGATGTTTCGGTCTACTCAGCCGTTCGGGCGGAATTCCGCAGTAGCGCGGAAGGCAAAGCAGTCCCCCCCCCCAATTTCGACGCACACGATGATGGTCGAATAGGCCGAAACATGTACTGCAGTGATGAATTTTGAAAAGAAAATAATTTTATACCTTGATATTGTTGAAGCTCTATGCTACAAGCCGGAAGGTCGCGGGTTCAAGTCCCGATGAGGTCATTGGAATTTTTTAGTTGACCTAATCCTTCCAGTCGCACTATGGCCCTGGAGTCGACTCAGTCTCTAACAGAAATGAGTACCAGGTATTAAATACTTTTCCTGGGGAGTAAAATGCGGACGGCGCGTAAGGCTGCCAACCTTACCACCATCTTTGAGCCGATTGTCTATATAATGTGGGACCCTCAACGTCTCACAACCATATGGGCCTTCACGGCCTGTTACAGGGATAGCTATACTTTACTTTTACATTATTTGATATTGTTGCAATGTGGAAGGTAAGCAAAGCTGGAAATTCTAAAGGCAACTGCAACAGGATGCTGAGCTACAACGTTATAGTTGTTTCAGTGTGTCTCGCATTTGCAGAACACTATATCAGAACGTATTGTGATTGGGGGGGGGGGAACTGACCTTTAGATTTTCACGGATTTACGCGTTTTCAGGCCCCTTCCCAAATATGAAAAAGTTGTTTTGGGAGTTCCATCTGTCAGTCTCTCTGTACACATGTGCCACGCTGTTGCCTGAACGGTTCAACATTTCATTCGGCAGTAACCGCCTTAAGTAGGTGCGCGGTGAACGTCAATATTCTAACTCCCAAAATTGGGGCCCTTCTAATAAACTCCCTAGAAATAAAGTTACGATTTTCTCGAAAACAGCTCGGACAATGTTGATTACATTTCAGTAAGATATGGAAATCTTTCTTAAATAAAAGGGCACAGGTGGTTTATTCAGGAAAATAACTTACGTGTTCTAGCGGCCCAGAAAGAGAGAAATTTTCGAAACGTACTTTACTAGTCGGACGGATTTCATTGTTGCTCGTTACTCAGAAGCCACCAATAATCTACTGAGCAACAGCTGATTACGTTTCCAAGGCAACGTAGTCAATGTGTGTACGAAATACGCGCAGTGTCTCTGCACCAGTTTCTGTAACCTGTTCCACCACCTGATCATCATATCATCGAAGGTGTGTACTACAATACCGAGACCATCGTTAAAGAACTTGGAAGACATATCCTGTTCCCACGTCCAATCTGCCAAGTGCCATTACCCACTGCGCTTTACATTAGCATAATTGCCGCCTTCCATTGAACTGTTTACATGTATTTCTGGTTATTGCTTATGTCTGTTAATCTATTTTTAGTAGCGGTAACCCGTTTGGCTAGTATTCGCGAGGTCTCTGAAACGACCTGAGGTAGATATTGTCTGTTTTTTCCTGTAATTCGAATGTCTCCACGCGGATACTTCAGGGCTTTCAAGTGTTTGTTGTAAATACATTAAAAATATTTCATATCCCTTAACGGCGTGAAGCTGACCACTCACCTCCAGTAGTGCCGAGGTCAAGGAAATGTGGATCTATACATCCACTCCCCTATACGTCTTCACGGCGCAGTGCTTAATTAGTTAAGCACAGGGACAACTTTACGTTTTTTTACCTATCCCTTAACAAAGATCTTGTGTGATTTTGTATGGAATGTTTTAGAAATTCTCCTTTAAATCAAGACTAAAATTTGGGCTCAGTTCCTCCCCGACACTGGGCAAAATCTCGAAAGCAAATCCATCTGTCCACAGACTAGCAGTGAACCCTCGCCTCTGGGTCACGGTTCACTTTCGTGCGTCCCATTTACTCCCCAGGGCCATAGTGAGGCTGGAAGGATTAGTTGCAGTGACCTCATCGCGAATCGGACATGCGCAAAGTCTGAAATAATGCGAATCCCACAGAATTCGGCAATACATTGATACTTATGTGGAAAGTTGTCTTGAATCATGCGAAATCTTCAGCAACACATCCCTCGCATAAAATGCGACCGCTAATTGTCTTCATCGTATATGGGATCGGAGGTTCGAACCCGCGTGATTCTGAGGAGAATTTCAGCCGAGTTGTGACCCCCTACTGTGTGTCACAAGTTGATGGGCATTTTCGAGGGACATACTTTCTCCATCTTCACGGTGAAGGTGCAAAATGTAAATATAAATTTGTCCCTGTGATCAATCAAGCACCAAGCCATGAACGGTTATGGGGGAGTGGAGATACATATCCATCATTTTTTATTTATGCACTTGCTAAAGATTATCGGTCCGCTTCACGCTCCGGCCGCTTTACCAACATCCCAAATTTAAATTTCTCTTATTTTTTTCATGAAGGGTTATATATTTTTGTTGGTGTTGTTCCTTAAGGACTTAACAAATAAATGAAAGAAGGAATGTCCACAGTTGCATGACGTGCAATGCAGGAAGCAGTTTCTCAGTATGAAGATGGGAGTTAAGCTAGGGATGTACTAATTGAGCAGTGGTAAGTAGTTCTGACACGATTAACACATTCACCGCGACCTTGTTTTCTTTTACGCCGTATTGTACCATGAATGGTGAATTATGAACAGCACGAGGGGACCACCATGTTCTGCGTCAGTTCGGGTTCTTACGAGAATAAGGACAGAACGTATATAATTGTTTGGCCGATACGAAACACCGCCGTAAGCAGGGACAGCTTTACCTTCCTTGCCGTTACTGTTAGCCCGTTCCAACCGATGCACTGAGGACTGCAAATTGAGTTACTTACCCTCCATGCAGGACCGCGCCACAGATCAGGCGACCCGCTGGCTTCCCACCGCATGGTACGCGTTCGAGCCCGTGTCAGAGCATTTGGCAGTGGAGAAGGTTTCCAGTTGCTCCACAGTCACCATCATCTATCAACAGGGGCTGGTACAGCAGGCCAGTAAAGAATAATAGTACTAAAAATACCATCCCTGTCTGGAAACAGTCGCCTACATCCTCATGCACCCAGGGAAGTGAAGGCTGCGCTACTTGCCCCGACCAGTTTGCACCAGGTAGAACAGTTCAGTGACCTTACCGTTCCTGGGTTCATTAAACGAAACACACACACACATCCTTGGCAACGGTTTGTTCTGCTGAAATCGTCCTGTTAAATGCAAGTACGAAACTTTATTCGCGAAATACCTGAGAAGAATAAAAGATAAAAGTATCCCTGTAACAGAGGCCGCACCATAGCTCAAGCGGTTAGTCGGTGGCTTCCCACCGCGGCGGCCCGGGTTCGATCACGGGTCTGGTCAAGTGGGATTTGTGGTGGACAAAGTGGCCCTGGGGCGGGTTTTCTCCGAGTACTTCGGTTTTCCCTGCCAATCTTCATGCCACCAAATTTTCCATCATCATAATCACCCGGGGCAGGCTACAATAGGCCAATCAATGGCCGCCGTGCTGAGTGGACCCAGTTGGACTCCACCCCCACTAAGCGAATTAAAAAAAAATATAAATGAACAAACAAACTAGTTTAAAGCTGATTTGCCGATGTGAGGGTTGTGACATTGTATTAGTATTTAGGCGTATACAGGGTAGCCCATGAAGAAATATCAATATTCTGGGAGGTCATAGTATCGGTCATTCTAAGCAAGAAAGTGTATATGTACATGTGTCCTATTCCGAACGGTTTCCGGGTTAGAGCTATTTCACTGTACACTGTACAGACGAGCATCTCACACAAGTTGTGAGGTGCATTGATGTTGACGGTGGAATTTTCGAAAATGTATTACACTAGGTAACTGCACCAACTTTGTCACTTGAACAATAAATTAGAAACAGTACGTAATATCTCTTTCCTACCAACAGCTTTGGAACTGCACAGTGAAGCAGCTCTATCCCGGAAACGGTTCGGAATAGGACACATGTACATGTACACTTTTTTGCTTAGAATGACCGATACTGTGATCTCCCAGAATACTGACCTTTCCTCGTGGGACATTCTGTAGATATTTATATAATTTATTTTCATGAAGAACGTCCTCTGCTGAAATAATTAGTATGAAATGTAATGTGACTTGAAATACATTTCGGGGATATTTCATTTCTGTGCGGGGTAGAAGACAGATCTATATTTGCCGATGTTAGAACTTATGAAATGTCAATTTTCAGTAAGGGCCATCCCATATGAATGCAAATGTCCGTAGAAATCTAATTTCTTCTTATTGTTATTATTAATGAAAAAGTCTCACATTTCCAAGTTTCAATTTGGCACAGAGACTCTTACTGAAAACTGGTGCAATCTATGTAACCCTTTTTGAAGGCTTCCTCGCAACACAGTGCTGGACACTCACATCAGATCCACGTCAGACAGACGTCACGAAAACTCTCGAGGTAGCCACTCACACTGAAACTGTTTCATCCCCTTAAGCATATGGTTTACGGTATTGGGGGGGGGCACGTGCGTCACACCGCTAAAATTAAGGGCCACAAAAAGTGGACTAGACATTTTCATAAATGTAAAGAGCAGGATGAGGTGCGCCGAATTCAAATAGTACAGAGCTCAACACCGCTCATAACGGCAATAAAAGTATTCACACATTTGACAAATCGTGGAATTTATTCATTCATTACATTTAAGTGAATACAAACAGACAGAGACTGCAAGCAGTAGAAATGTTGGAGAACAACACACAGAATAGGCCTATTTGAGCAGACGAAGATGCCAGCAGACTTTTGTTTACATTTAACTGGATCTGTGGGACGGCAACAAGTGGATAGCATGGGGCAAAAGGCATGTAGACTAAAGGGTGAAAATATATGCCACAACTAACTAAAAATAATTACACGTGTGTCACAGAAACTGACTTGTAGGGAGATTAAATAATTAAGGAGCAAACAGCGCAACAGTGTGTTATCGGAACTTGATAAAACAGAAGTTGTGAAGTTTTACAGTCACCACTGGCTTCTTTCATATTAACAAAATACAGTCTTATAATCGCTTATTTTCCGTGCGTCAATAATTAACGAATAAATACAAAATGTTCTCTTTTTTTATCAGATTCTGTCACGAAACGCGAATGCACTTTCCTTCACAAATGTGGGTACTGTTCACTATGGCTGGGCCGCTGGGGCTGTAGGGCTGGGATTTGCAGAAGCGTTCTTCTTCCTCGTGAGGATACTCTTGAGGTTCGCCACTTCCGTCGCGAGGCGAGCGAGTTCCGACTTGAGCTGCGTGTCGTCTGAGCCGCACTCCACGGGTTCGCTGGGTCCTGGCGACACTGGCAGTTGGTTCTGTGGCAACTGCACGGAGCCACACGGCACTGCCGAGTGTCCAGCCCACTCCACTCCCAGAGAGATCCCAGAGTCACGTTCGTCGCTGCTCCCCTCAGCGTCCCAGGGAGGGCTAGCGCGCGCCCCCACTCCGTGCCCAACCCCGGGTTCCTGCTTTATGTTCTGCAGAGACAAGAGGGCTGTGGCCGCATCTTTATCGCCTAGATGAGTCTTGTGTCGCAATTTGTGGGGCAGACTGTTGTTATTGTTATTGTTATTGTTGCTGTTGCTGTTGTTGTTGTTGCTGCTGCTGCTGGGCCCTGTGGTCAGAGCCACGGGACCAGGCACAGAGTTCTCGTCTCCACTTCCGCTGCCGCTCGACAGTTCAAAAGGTGACTGAGCACGACTGCGGCTCCCTCGACTTCTGCTGAGGTTCAGGACGTTGTTACCGTTACCCCCTTCGAAGGGTGGGGGGTGAAGTGAATGTAGCGGGTAGTTATAGGCGTATGTGTCGGGATCGGAGTAGTTGGGCTCGTGCTGGTGGTGCAGAGGTAGCTGTCCTGTCAGGGGTTGTGGCTGGTAGTGGTGGAGTGTTTGTGGGGGTGGGGAACTTCCGATGCCCGTGCTTACGGGCTGGTGAATGACGGAAGTGGGGATAGGGCTCGGTGTCGGATGGTACAGAAGAGGGGAAGAGGCGCCGCCACTTGGGGCAAGTTTGGGCCGTTTGGTGATGCTGAGTACTTGCTCGCTCGTGGGTAAAGTAGCCATCACCTGCTCCACGCTCACCACGCTCTCGCCGCTTATGCCGTATTTGTCTTTGATAGCTGCCAGCTGAGCCTTTAGCACGTGATTCTCCTTGCTCAGCTCCACAACACGCGTCTCCAAGATCATGTCGTTGAACCGACGCTTCTCGCGGGACCGCTTCGCTGCCTCGTTGTTTCTACGTCGCCTATCCCAGTAGCTCTCGTCCTTCTTGTTGTCTGGGATGAATTCCCGCTGTTTCCGTTGTGAGAAGAGTTCTTTTCTCTTCAGATGACCCGCCAAGTCGTAACCCGGCGGAAAGTTGTCGGGGTCAGGCGACCCGGGGCGGGACATTCCCATGTGGAGGGAGGCGTCTTGGCCACCGACGCCCCCGAGACTGCTATTGCTGTTGCTGCTAGGCATGCTGGAGTTCAAGGACGGTGTTTCACCATTGATGGGCGATCCACTCTGCCGGGCGACAAACTCTGCCACCATAATTCGATGTCTCAAAACATCTGCAACACAAAAAAAGCAATCTACGTTAATATTCGTTGCGAGACCGTGTGAGTGACTGATGCTGGGAACAACGCACTCTACAGCGCACACTTCTGCTGGTTCCTAGCGCTCCCTGCAGGGTGGGAGGCAGGCAGCAGCTCGGCTCCAAGTCAGTCGAGTGGCTGAGATCGCGCGAGTACGAACTATTGCGATCATGCAATGTGACGAGCGTCACGCACCCACCCACATAGGAGGCGGACAGTTCACTGCATGCACTCCCACCACAGAACAGAAAATATTAACGAAAGGAGTAAATTTGACACCTGCAGTTAATGCTTCATTGTCAGTCACAAAACCAGTTCACACTCAATACCGTCGCAATTTTCCCATCAGTATGTTCAGTTGTGCAACGTTTTCAATTAGTATTACGCCACTCCGAAGCAAGGTTTCAACAATATCCCACAAACGTGAGTCATAGCATGCAAATACCTAGCGGGGCTGGTATAGCGGTACCCCTATCCTAACAGTTCCTTCGTGGTTTTCCTCTGTTCGTCCAGGGAAATTCCGGGCTAGCACATCGATTAGGACACAGACACTTCCCTCCAAAATCGTGTACATGTCATCGTGCCACACGGAAGCAGGCACTGCCCAAGCCATGATGTAACATCTGTCGACTTCCTTCCTTGAGACATCAGCCAGGCAGTGAGGGTCGAAGTCAGGATTATGCAACATGGCCGTGGCTACGACACGTGATTACAGTCACGTTGTGTTTGTGCCCGCAGTTATAGTTTCCAACGAATGACGTTTTAGAATAAAAGCCCTAGTAAAAGCGATTATATAACGCGCCTATGAAGGGCAAACAACGGCTGCAGACGCATGCGTGCTAGTCGTGGCACGGAACGTGAAGCTGCTGCTACTGCTGCTGCCTTTGTTCACCATTGTCTGCATCGATTCGGCACGAACAGTTAAGTATGTGGTAAACCTACTTTATATAAACTGATGTTAAATAACAGGCAAGGCGCGTACGTGAGGACACGTCACTGCTTCTCTGAGTCACCTAATTTTGATTAAAAGGTACAGTAAGCTTTGTCACTCCTCCACGTCATCCAAAACTTTTTTCTCTCTCTGGATGATGCAAATCCGACATTTCTAAAGTGATCTAACAAACTCATCATCATCACAGCCTTAGTCATCCACACCCGAAAAGTATGTCATTCGAGACAGCAAGCCCTATACAACACTTCCACGTCACTTTGTAATAAACTGTAAAAGCACTGATAAAGATTCGTTGTTCTTTTCACACACCATCAAGACGAAGGAAGGAAAGAAAATATGAAACAGTGACTTCACAAGACACACAAAATACGTCACGATATAAAACAAAGCATTCAGTGAACTCACCAATTGTGAAACGTTGTTTAAAATGTGTTTCAGTACTCCAGTAGGTATGTAACTCGCTAGTAAATCAGTAAACTGAATGAATTTGTTTTGTAACACAGTACGCAAGGGCACGCTTTGTCAGTTATGCTCACAGATAAGTTCAACACAACTGTCTTCTCGCAAGTTCCACAACGTACTGTTGAACCATAGAGCCAGACGGCAGTGGCTTCTCTCAGTCAATGTCGTGTGGCATGTCGTGGTGGGGATGAAGCGGGAGGGGAGCGGCCCTGGAGCGAGGACAACACCCTCTCTGACTCACCAATCAGAGCCGTGATAGGTCACCTTCACATTGCGTAACATAGAGTGTGGGGGGGGGGGTTGTTACGTAAGCAGAATCCCGTTCTCCCTTCGGCAATGTAGTCGAATACGAACCTGTCCGGAGATGGCCGAATGTTCGAGATGAGTGCTCGTAACTTCGTAAGCTGCGCAATGCAGGGTGAGTGAACCGATTCTTGGGCGGAAAAGAAAGAAGAAAGCGTTTTGCTGCTGGCAAGGTTAAGATAAGTTTAGACTGTCAGTGCCTGTTCAAAAAGTGTGGTGCGGAATATGCCAGCCGAGTGACTGACCTCGTTCCTAAAACGAACCCTGCACACAAAGGCGAGTTGGCTACAACTGTCGAAAGTTAAGTTATTAGCCAACTGAAAAATGCATAATGATACAATTTGTCAGGTCCGTATACATGTATCTATAACCTTTAGTGGACTGAGAGCAATATTAACATATCCATGCCGATCACAGGGGCCGCGCGGTCTGAGGCATGCACTGTCTTCGCCTTCTGGAACGCTGGAGCCGTGGGTTCGAATCCCACTCGATGTCTGTGTGCATTTATTCTGTCTGTGCTGGGCTGCGTGCAGGTACACGCCACGTTTCTTCGTACGAAAATGTTCTGCGTGCTTTTTGTTCAACAAAGTACAAGGATTTTAAATGTACAGTAGACCCTCGCTAATCCGAATGTCGGATAAGCCGGATCGAAATATGAAAAATTCTGTTCACAGTTGAGTACATACTTTAGGGCACACACGGCATGTAGGAAGGCAGACGAGTCACTTTTCTGTTCAAACAACATACTGTTCATTCATCAATGGCTGTACAGTCCCTTTGTTCGGCCCTGACTGCTTTCTTAGTTTTGTAATCCTATACACAGTCGGTAGGACTCCTTGGAAGGGGATCAGCCCGTCGCAAGGCCGCTATAGGGCAGCATAAACACAGAATAAACGCAGACAGACATCCATGCCTCGAGTGGGAAACCAAACAGAAAAATTAAAAATGACCCCAAAACATCGGACAGAAAAGAAAGAAAATAAAAGATAAGAAATCTTCCAGCCAAAACAGGAGGAAGAATGTTTTAACATTTTGTTTAATTTATTTTCGTTTGTTTCTTTATTTATATTTTCCCCCGTCGTGCTTTGTTCAGGCAAATTTCCTGGGAGGGCACTAAATATAGCGATATTGCAAAATCCCTGGCAAAGCATGCACTGACGGCAGTACAGTCAGTTGTTCTGAAGAGCGCAGCGGAGAAAGTTGGTTGGGTAAACCGGGTTAACTCCGCAGTCTGCCGTGTCTTCGCTAGTCGTTGCTCGGTAACGGCGCCCAACGGCGGACGTTCCCCGAATTATCCTCATGCTTCAGCTACCTGCTTCTAACAGTAGCAGCTCACAACGACTGAACTGCTGTTGTCTGAATAACACTAACCCGCCAACCAACTCGCTCCACTCCCCTCTTCTGCTTATGTAGCCTCGGCACGGACCACATAGACTAACACAGTTCATCTGCTGTTGCGTGCATGTTACAGCTATTCTTCACAGCGTCATTACTTGGCAACGAGTTTACACGCTACATTATTTTACTGCACGCTAGGATAGTGCAAGTCAGTAATCTGACGTATTGAATCCTGATTATAGCACGAGTGAGAGTCAGTAAATAGGTCACAAATGGATATTAAACGTTAGAATTTGAGGAAAACATGTATTTCTCGACATATCCTCCACCAACACAGATACACTTGTCCCATCGCTTTATCAGTGCGTCGAAACCTGCAGCATAGAAGTCTTTTGGTTGTTGTCTCAGCCACTTCAGCACATCCGTTTTAACCTCTTTGTCATCAGCGAAACTTTTGTCCCACAGTTGTGAACCGCTTTACGCGACAAACACTTCCCACCCTATACAGGAAACATTTCTTTATGAATATCCCTTGCACTGAGTCCTTTTGCCCACAAAAAACGCACAACAGAACACTGTTATTCGGTAGTATACCCCTCAAGCAGGGTCGCCATTTTGACTACTGAAACCAGCCTCTGAACATGTGCCTGTGTGTCTGCTACTTAGACTGTCATAGAAATCTGGACTGTGCTGCTGCCTAGTGATACACTACAAATAGAAAACATTTTACGTCCATTGCAACTGTTTTACTTTCATTTGTGGTATGTTTACTGGATCTCCCTCGTATATTCTGGTACAAAGCAACCCGTCGTGGAATTATTATGACCACTGCGGAATTACCTCTGCTGGGCAATAAATGTAATGCTCCATATACACACTCAAAATATTTATTATGTTTTCTCTGACGCAGTAATTATTCTAATGAACTGTTTGAAGCGGTGTCCTCAGTCTTACGAAATTATTTGGTCCAGCCGCACTATGGCTCTGGGGTCGACTCAGCCTCTGACAGAAATGAGTACCAGGTATCTTCGTGGGAGGGTAAAGGGCAATTGGCGCGCAAGGCTGATAACCTCAGCGCCATCTGTGAGCCGATAGTCTAATAAATGTGGAAGCCTCGACGTCTCACAACCCTATGGGCCTCCACAGCCTGTCACAGTCTCTACCGTGTGACAACTGAAATCCGAAGTACAGCATTTTGTATCAGAGCATTACAAACTGGTTCGTTTAGAAGAATTATAAGACTGTCTTCCATACTCATAGAATTTTGGTTAACATCGTAAATTACAGCCCTCGTTCAGAAGCGCAGCGTTCTAACTTCAGACGCCATGGCGCACGCCGGAACTGTCATACTTTCCGTGGCAGTGACTGTACATTGTACGTAAACATTACGTCATGCTTCGTTGTTCGAAATCTCACGCATGTACTTCGCTTTGTCGGGATGAATTTAGTAACGGATGTTTCGATGTTGTAAACACCTGAACGTTTCCGCAACTCAGCAACGGCACGACTTATTACAGACGCACGCGCACAGCTGAACAGTGGCTCGCAGTTAATTCATCGCCTAAGACACCTTTAAGGGTAAAGGTAAAGTCGTCCCTGTGCTGAACTCATTAAGCACTACACCATGAAGGCTTATCGGGGAGTGGATGTACAGATCCACTTTTTGTTGACCTCAGCACTAGTTGGAAGTGAATGGTCAGTTTCACGCTCCGGCCGCTTTACCCCCGGGCAAAGGCCACCCGGTATCCACTGTATAGGAGGCTGGGTGAGCCCCACAGCCGGTCTGAACGACGTGGAGAAGAGAACATTCTTGACCCTAAAGGGACTCGAACTCCGACACTTCCGTCGTCTAGCCCGTAACCAGTCGCTGTGCTGGCTCCTGCCTTTAGGGGTACCGTGAGTAAGTGATCTTACGAGAGAGAAGTGACGTGTTCATCGAAATCTTCGGTATCCGGATTTTGGGTCCCATCATATGTTAAGATTAGCATGCTATGACTTGCTAGTGATGACGTAAGCATCCGCGTCACTGTCTCATGGTGACGCAACCTCGCAGATATGAGACCCTCTCTCTCCGTTCTCTTACACATTCAAAAAGAAATGTGTTATATCATCTAATTATAATGAAATTAATGCATCGCAGTCGCAGTTTATGCCAATCTGAAATAGTGCGATATAAAACAGGGTTAATAAAACCTCACTTTAGGAACAAAGTTTGAAATAATGCGATTTCCCCTCCCCCTGAAGTTGTTCAGGTACGAGTCCCTCGCACAGAATGCTACCGCACTCTACAGAAATTAGGGGCTGCACAGCTTGCACCACTGCACCACCCCGGAACCACTCGGCACATAACTGTCCCGTACACCACTGCTGGTATACCCGTCCGACATACGAATTCGGTTTCGAGAAAATCTCCCCAGGGAGATCCTCTGAAATCACACCAAATCTGTTCGAAATATATGCGATAGCGTGGAACAGACAAACAAACAAAGAGACGCGGACTGCTGTACATGTCGAAGAGACGCCGCAGGTAGAAATGTCGCAGCTGCGGGGTCCCCCCTCCCCTCCTCGTGCGTCTCGCTAGGCACCAGTAAAATTCCTGAGTTTAATTACAAGTCAGGATGGCGTTCAGTCACTTTGAATTATCGCAGGACGAAATTCTACCACGTGGACAGACAGACGGACGGACGAATGCGTTGATGACAGCGAGCACGTTAGTGTAGCACGAACGGTCTTGCCATGTGTTCATCATGTGCTCGGTTCTAACTTCATAGCTGAGGTCTTTTGTAGTTCTGTTTAGTCCCTTGTGTTAAATTTCGGGATAGGCCATGACCGTTCCCATCCAAATCCTTTCTGATGTATTCATTAATATTTCTACAGTTCAACACGGTATAAACCGAAATGCGACCATATTCTGTAATATGGTTGGATGCTAGAAACATGAATACCAAGGAAGTTATTCGGAATACGAGCTTTTAAATTATTGTCACGTGTTAGTGCGTGACTACAGACCGGGTTTGGATTGGTGAATGGCTTATACACAGGATTCCTAAGTAATTACAGCGCCACCGCTCATCTCCGCAATTTACAGATTATTGCAACACCCGCTAAATCCTTTCCAGCCTGCTGTCTTCACCAGCCGTTCCCTGGCAACGGCTTCTAACAATGGAGATTCTTCAGCTTCACGCGCCCACATCTTCACTGTCCGGTGAATACCCCGCAAGTATCAACTCCGGAACTCGACTGACCCACGGCGACTGCCGATTCTGAACTTTATAACTCCTTGGCGCGGACCGCGTAGACAACACACTGTTTCCCGTGTTGTATACGTAACCGTTGCCGCGGGAACGTGTTTACCGAGCCGTTGCCCAGAAGTGGGCTAGCATATCTGCCCATTTCGCAGTCGTTGCATAGCAACGGCTCTACACGCTACATTATCAACAGATTGGCTTTGGCACGCCTAACTGAGCTTACGTAGCACTCCTGGCATCGCTGTTCTCGTCTGTGGCACTTC